TAAAAATTTTAAAAATCGTATATTAAATAGGGTTTGATTTCACGATCATCCGATTTCACCATCATCCGTGACAATAATTGATGCGATAAACTCGAATTTTGGTGTGATAAACTCGAATTTTGATGTGATAAACTCGAATATTTAAACCCGGTTCCAACTTCTAATCGAAAGACAGATATTTAGATATACACATATAACTAAAATTTCATGCTGAAAACTTTTGTTTAGAAGTCAAACTACGGTTATCATTGAGTTATTTACGATTTTTTTTGTTTTCTCAGTGAGAAAACAGAAAAATCGTAAATAACTCAAGATTTTACTATGATAACTTCTAAACAAAAGTTTTCAGCACAAAATTTTAGTTGTAAAGTTTGTGCTTAATGCTCTTTCGATTTGGTGATCGACATAACCTGGCACAGATTTCAGACATGCTAATAGCACTAACAAATCGGCCGAGCGTAGCCAGGTCTATTTCATTTATTGAATTGGCTGGGAAATCATTTGGCAAATTTTTAATAACAGTTTTAATATGAAACAAAATTATGTTTTTTTAAAGAAACTGGTATCGGTCATTATTTACCGGTCAGTTAAACCGCTCTGACCGGTTAGCAACGGTTATGGCTAATAACTGGGATCTTTGCCTTGGAAATGACCTTACGGTACATGATATCGTAAGGTCATTTTCAAGGCAAAGACCCAACTGGTCACAACGGTTATAACCGCTGCAGTATTACAGGTAAAATGACATCACAGACAAACAAGTTTATAATTTAGCTCTAAGGCTTAGATAATTTATGGTATCAGTTTATAAGAGAATGAGCCACTATACAATAAGGTGAGTTCTGTTTAAGCCTCATTAATCTTTTAAGTTATAAAAAGGATGTAACTTGGTTAAGGTTGGTTACAACACTTATGTGCGAGGAAGGGACATAAGCTTACTAGCTCAATGATAATTTCCCTGTATTATATGAACCAAATCACCAACATCACGCCTTTGGTGAGTTGCCTTATATCATATAAATTCTATATAGATTATCGAACATACGATCCACCCGTAACAGCAGAGAGTTCGATGTTGCCAGATTTGCAAACCATATGAATACAAAATTAAGAAGGCTCAGCAGTTTGTATTTTTCTCCTAGTACAGAAGTAGTGAACTGCTTTACACAAGACTGGAAGGGTTGCATAAATTACCTGTGCTCTCCTTTTGGCCAAATTCATCGGGCACTGACACATGCAAACGAGTGTGGTACTATAGTAGTTTTCATTGTACCAATTTGGGTAGTAGCCCCTTGGTAGCTAACAGTTTTGAACCCTTCGGGCTATATGGAACCATGCAACAACAATCACTGGAAGCTGAGAGCAATTCGAATAGATTAGTCAAAAAGATCTTAACATGCAGATTTCTTGGTTGAGAATGTCATTAGTGAGGCATATAGAAGAAGGTTGGACAAAGCATGGGGTATGTCCACCCAAAAGGTTTTACAATTACTGTGATTACAGCATATTTGGCCTGGTTAGAAATGTCTAGACGGAGTTCAGAAATATTAAGTTGCTTGGCAGCTATTGCAAGAGCGCATAAATTAAGGAGTTTATATGACCCAAAAAGTAATATAGTGCAAGCAGTGGTCTACGGAATTAGAAGGGTTGTTAACAGAGATGTAGAGGCAAAGTGACCAAGGGACCCTTTGCCGATTGATGCCATGAAGCAACATTTCTTGAAAGTGTTATTTTTGAAATATAGACCCAGGATTTGGTACTTATAGTCCTGGAGTTTAAGGACAATGAAACGCCCAGGGGAATTTTGTGAGTTAAGGGTGAGGAATTTAAGTATAAGAGACGGGCTACTTTGGATTAGGATAAATAGGTCCCAAACAGACCAATTAGCTGAAAGAAAGTTTGTGTCCATTGAGCAAACAAATAGCAAATATTGCCTGGTTAGAAGAGTAGTAAAATGTTTTAAAATCGATAATGTACCTTTTTTCCTATTAAAACAAGGAAAAAGATGACGGTTTCATCAGTTACAGCAGTGGTGAAAAGGTTTGTGGACCACGCAAATTTGAAAGGAAAATTTACAGCTTATAATTTAAGGATTGGAGGGGCCACTGCAGCTATGAGAGGTGGATTGATGTTAGAACAAATTCAAGCAATTAGAGGTTGGGTTTCAGAAGTTGCACGACTTAATATGAGATCGGTCGGTATAGCAGAGTTAGGTACATCAGCATTGATGGGTTTGGTGATATCAGGTCATAGTTTGCTTTAAGGATTATTGATTGTGAGTTTGTAGCACTTAATCGCAAATTGATTTTCTCTTTGACGATACTCTGAAGAACCCATTTATGTTCTTCTTGATAATATACTCACAAATCTGTAAATGATATGTAAGTATCAGGGCAACTTTTTTTTTGTCTCGAATCTATTTACCCGATCGAACATGTGACAGTAGGGTGATCATCAAACTAATAAAATCAAACCATAAGATAGCTGCGCAGCATGCAGTGCCGCGCAAGACATTAACCATAGCTGCCGCAACAAATTTGGACCGGCAGATCCTCGATTTTGATTGGCTAATGGCCGAGGATCTTCGAAATTTTGGCCCACATTACAAAATTGGTTACTAATTTCTGGCCGGAATTAACTTTTTAATTTTTTCATTACAAAAATAGAAATTCTTAAAAAATAAGCCTACATTATGGTAAAATTGGCTCAGGAACAATTTTCACTTAATGGGCGGCTATGATTTCATTAGTAAAATTATGAGTAATTCTGGCCTAATCTTTTGATCGTCGCTCTTAGTCAATCAAAATCGAGAATCTGCCGGTCCAAATTTGTTGCGGCAGCTATGGTTAATGTTATATTCTGACTCCGGAAACTTTGAATTTTTTTATGTACTTTTATTATTATTATTATTACTTGAAAATATGATATTTTTTTTGGAAGGGAAGCCTTCACAATTGTTTTTCAAGAGACAACCCTACTACTCTTCGACCAGAATATTTAAAAACAATCTTATTATGAAATAATAATCGCGAAGTCACGTGACATCCTAACCTCACAATTATCCGAAAACTTCGAATTTTTTCGTATTTTTATTGTTATTATTATTTGAAAAATATTGTACGATGAATTTGCTGTAAGTATATATTGGAAGTTTATTAGAAGCTAGCATATAAATATATTATACTTTAAATAGTATAATTATACTTTAAATCGTATAGTTATACTTTAAATCGTATAGTTATACTTTAAATTGTATACAGTAGTTATACTTTAAATCGTATAATTATATGATTTAAAGTATAATTATACGATTTATACGATTTAAAGTATAACTATATGATTTAAAGTATAATTATACTTTAAATCGTATAATTATCGTATAAATAATCAATCATTGGCAAAAAAAAAAATCACACTCATGTGTTTTACACACGAGTGTTTTAGTTTTACACTACACATGAATGATTACAATTTTATTCCAGGTATTCATTTACCTGGAATGAAAGGAAATTTTTGAATATAAAAAGGTAAGTAATTTTTCTACTCAAAATATTATTTGATATCAAATATGACATGACTAACCATTTGATTCAAATTTTTAATACACATGCAAAAAATGCAAAAATTTATATTCTTAGTTCCTTTTTCTTTCTGCAAATTCCATCTCTTTAATCGGCAAAGTTTTCATAAACATAATGACATCCAGTGTAAGTTTTTGCATTGTCATTTGTTTCAAGATCACATGATGTGCTACCAGTTTTTTTTTTAAAGATATATGCTGATCTATATATGCAATTCAGAGACCAAGTAGCTATCCTTTTAACTGCAAATTCATTCAACATTGACGAAAATTTTGTAAGCGATTGGATTCATTCTGATTGGGATAAAGATTTGATAGTTGACAAACATAATGTTTACTTCACTATCAATTGCAAGTTTAAACAAAAGGCAAAAATTGGTTTTAATGACATTGAGTTAATTTCTAGTGCAGCAACTCTACTAGATTCATGTAGTGTCATTGTTACTACAACCGGATACTCAAAAAATTCAATCACTACAGCACAAGAGCTAGAAGTAATTTTAGCTGATTCCAAAAGTTTAATTGACAAATTAAATAAGTTTGTTGATGATGAATTGGCCAGAAAATTCAATGAAACATTATATAAAGCTTTACATACTTAGTTAAAATTTTATATAATTTCTTAAAAAATTTTATGTAAAATTATGTCAAATAAATAGCAATATATATTTTTGCATTCTATTGAATAAATTTACGTATTTAAATTAATTTTTTTTCATACTTTTTTTTCAAATTTTTTGTATTCGAATTTTCTTTTGCATTTAATTTTTTTTCAAATTTTTTTTTCTTTTCGTATTTAATTCTTTGTTTTTCAATAAAATTTATATTATAGTCAAACCTTCTATAGTTACCCTTTATATAAGCACATCATATAAAAAATTTACTTATAAGCATATTTATTTTAAAACTAATTATTATAAACATATAGAAAAAAAACTTCTTTATAAGCACATCTTAATAAAATTCTCTTTACAATTACACAAATATTTATCTTGAGGGGTGTGATTATAGAGAGGTTAGACTATAGTTAATAAACATATTTATTAAATTCATTATCCAATTCCAAAGTAAGCACAATTAAATTTATAGTATACTTTTTTTTATTTAATTATCTTAGTTGATAAATTTAGTAACAGTAACTATTCTTAATAGATATATACTACCTGACAAGGAAATGCCTATATTGTTATTAAAGATGATGTAAATTATATTTTTATTATTTTCTTATTATATAGTTATAATTGCTGACAACATTTTTTACAAACTAAGATTATAAATAATAAAATATTATAGTTACAATGTTCTTGGAATTATTCATCTTATTAAAAGAAAATTAGGTTTGTTTTAGGAAATTATAGTCTGAAGTGTAAATATAGCGAAGTGTTATACAGTTATACCAAAACATCTAAAAATAATTGGGCAATACATTAGATATAGTAAACTTTTACAATGTTATTAATATTGTGTTACATAGTACTATGTTTGTAATTGCATTTGAACAATCTCACTAGTATGTCCCTAAAAATTTTACTGAAAAAAGTCTTATGTTTAAAATAAAATAGTTTGCTTCTTTCGCTTTGTTAAATAGTGGTGATACTATGTTAAAATCTACTTATACTACAATTTGAATGTGAACTTAAATAACTTGGTTATATATACAGAACCATAACAGTAAACAATATATGCAATAGTAAATATTGACTATTCTGACAAATTATTTGTCCAATTTGTTACATGATTTGTGTTCAAAAAACATTGTGCTAGCATAGCGGGCTTTGTTATGATTAGTTGATTTTGAAGATTATCTTATCATATTAATATCTTATTAAAGTAACAATTTGCTGTCATTTGTTGCCACTAACAAATTTGAAAACAAAGAAAATTTGAAAGTTCAAGTTTTACTTAATATACTATCAAATTAATTCAGTAAACCTTGAGGTAATTTGGAAGTTGGATAAGATATATGTCTAAACATTTCAATTTAGCCAATATTAACTTATAATATATTAAACTTGTTAAAATGACAGTAAAAAAAATGGTTATATTGACCTGCGGGTCGATAGCATAGCGGTTATACTCCCAGGTTGCAAATTGGACGGTTGCTGGTTCAATTCCTCCCAGCGGCGAAATAATGAAAACCCAAATATGGAAGTGAAACACCGCGGGGTACAGGGAACTTGGGATATCTACAGATGGACGTATTCGGGAATAGTTATTCCGAGAAGTTGTGGCTGTGAAGCGAGACGTGTTAGAACCCCGATTTAGAATAACTGAAGTCATGAGACGTACTGTGAGGCCAAAGTCTGAGAAGATACTACAAGAACTCGTGGCGCCACCAGATTGGCTAGTGAAATCCCAGTCTAATATTAAGGTGTTTCGACCTCTCCAGAGTGTCGTGCAGGCAGTCGGATCTAGGCCCCAATGAGGGAACCAGAGAAATGACGGACAATGGATCCCAGGTGGATACATATGATTCCCGTATAGGGATTATGGAGGTCTTGTGACACTAGTAGCGTAGGGTCAACTATAAAGATAGCTGGACCAAGTCACGTCTAGACTTGCTAAATAATAAAAAAAAAAAAATGGTTATATTGCTAATTTATTTTATTAATAGTTTATTTTATTATTCTAAAGACAGATATGTATAGCCAGTAAAATAGATTAGTGATAGTGACAAAGCAATGAAAACATAAGCTTGCGAACTTTATAGGAGATTAAACTGTAGTATTACTTTAAGATTATCAAGGCATATATTATGTCTAAGATTATTAATTTAGGATTAAGATTAAATTCATTTGGTATTTAATCAGCTATTATTAAATAAAATTAAAATTTGTTGTTTATAATATGATTCTATTTGTATTGGGATGATGATTTTAGATCTCAAGTTGTAGTAATCTATTCATTAATATAATTTAATTTTATACTATATTGAATAGTAATTAGTTCATATAAAAAATATTGCTTGCGAATAATAATTTTGATATTTTTTGTGATATCATAGAATGATTTACAAAAATCAGCCAATTATAATGAAAACCTGCTATACTCAGTTTTTTTTCATATCATTATTTGAATTTATTCCTTTTTCTTTCAAGCATTTGTCAATACAACTTTGAAAAAGTTTTCAAATTTTCTTGTCAACAATTTTGCAATACTTGAATATTTCACTTGACATTATATAATTAAAACAATAAGCTAGATACATGTGACTACACAAATTATATTTTATGCTACATATAAAGTTAATATTTTTTTAAGTTACATGAACCAAATTATATATTTATTTCAAAGCATGCAAACTAATGATGCAGTAGAATTATTACAATAATGTTATGGCTTAAGCCAAAACTAGTTAAAGCTTATATGTAACAAGTTATAGCAATCATTGGAAGTTTATATATTTGAAAAACTATGAATTTATCTGCACTAATATTTATAAAACTAAATTATCAGTATTAGTAATTTAATGAATAGTTTTCAAACTATCTTTAATAATTAACTGGCATTAATACTCAAATCCAAATAGTTTGCTATTATTGTATGAGAATTCAAGAATACTATAATTTTTTATACAAAATTGTTTATTTACCTGTGTATTTCACAGTATTAAAAAAATAACTTTAATAATCTATATTTAGCATTAGGCCATTTGAAATTAAAACTTTATTTAGCATTATTTTTTTTGTATTTACACAGAAAGATTATAAAAATTAAACATTATTATGAGCTAAATGTGGATCTACAAAATTAGGTATAATAATCTCGTGATTGAAGAAGTAATTGCATTTTAATAACTAGTTTATTAGTTAAGGCTTATCTGCTGAATACAATAAACAAACCTATGTAAAATCTGAAGAACAAATATGCATAAAAGAAAGATTAAAGATAGAAAAATCAATATATAATTATAAGTAGCTACAATATAAAATATTGCAAAAGCAAAGCAAAGCCTTTTCTAGTTATTATAATAATATTATAATTATCATTGTAAACCCTTACTTTAGAGTTAGTTTTCTTGATTCTTTAACAATATAATTTATAAATTATCCCCAAGCTCCTTGAATTTATTAGAATAGTAAAATTTATAAAGGCATTATAATTTCTTTTTTGTAAAAGATATCTCAATAATTCCTTTATAATCCATTTAATAAATCATCTTGATAAATCCTTTTAATAAATTAAATTATTTATAACAACTCTTTCTGATAATTATCAAAACCAAATTTTCTCACTAAAATTTTTGTTGGAGAGTTGTAGTCTACATTACGGTTTGTCTAGAGGTCAACGTTTTGCTGTATGGGACTCCTCTAAAGAGACATTTAGCATGCAAGCCAAGAGCATTATTATATAAGTTAACTGGCAAGAGGTGGCTTTGTATAAAAAATCTTGGTAGAGTGTGGGCAAAGAGCTCACTTTCATCAATGAAGTTTCTAGGTTATTACTTCAAAGAAGAATACAAGGGAAACAACAAAACTTTTTCTTTTCTAAAGCCACAATTTTTTTTTTGGTTTTGGTGGCTCTTCTCTTTTTTTTCCTCGCCCTTCTATCGGTCTTTCAAAATTTTCTACAAAAAGTGGAGATTTGGCTTATTCCCTCCAAAAGATCACATTGTTTACTTTCCAAATTCAGACAGACTCAGTAGAATGCAACTACATAATATATTTGTTTATAAATACAATGCTACTCCGGGAAAGTCAAATCAGGACCTCCAGTTAAAGAGATATACGAAAGAAATCATAAGTCAGAAGAACTTTGTATGTTAAGGCAAAGCTTTATATTAGAGATATACAATTGTTGCATTTGTTATATAATTTTTTAGCCTTGCACAAGTTATAATAGTGCATTCTTATTATGTAGAGAGGTGAAACTTCTCTTTACACTTTATTCTAGTTCTATAAAATTTTTTTTATTTTTTCTCGTTTTTTCTTTTTTTGGGTTTTTTTTATTTTTTATTTTGCTCTTTTCTCTTTCCCCTCTTTTGCTTATTTCCCCTTTTTAGTTATAGTTTGTTTTCATTTTTTATAGAATTTTTTTTTGGATAATTCCAGTTATTCGTGATCTGGTAGAATGGAGTTGCTCTTAGGCCTGAATTAGGTTTCGCACCATGATATGGAACTGAGTGAAGTTGGACTTCTTATTTAAAATTTATATATTTATAGTTATTATAAATATTAATAAATAAGATTAGTTATAGCAAGACCTGTCGATATTTAAAAAAAATAAAATAAAAAAAATAAATTAAATTATTGTCAAATCACCAGCATTACATCTTTGGCAAGTTGTCTTATATCATATAAAATCTATATTTTTATATATAAATTATTAAATATACAATTCACTTCACAACAACATATACCAAAAATTCTGGCAACTATAATAGCTATTATATCAATCAATCTATCATTTTTATTTGTTTAATTTTTGAAGAAGCTTAGAAGATGGAAGGGGAGTAGTGTTAAATTAAGAATCAATTTCAACAAAATTTCTCAGTTAGTTGAATACAGTTGATCTTTCTAAATGAACATCATTAGAACTAGCTCTAGCACGTGTATTTAGAAAGGTATTGCATTTAGAGAAGTAAAAATCTATAGATATAATA